AACTAAAGTTCGCACAACTAGGCTTAATACTTCTACCCTTGCATTCTCCACTAAACGTCCATATTTCCTAAAAAAATGCATCCTTATCCACATTTTGAAAGTGAGTCGTTAACTTTTCACCTCATTCATAATGCAATTCAGGTTCTTGATTGGTGACAGCTTCTTAGCATCGCTTCTAAGGCAATCTCCTTCAGCCAATTGTGATAGTTCAGAATTTTTTTATATTCTATGATGAAAAATTTAGCACTGGTGGCTATTTCATTCACAAGTCCTGCAATTCAAGATGCCTTGGGGGTAGACTTGTTTTGATGCAAAAGATATTACGGAGCATACACCCTAAGGATAGGTTCTATTTTCTTTACGTGAGACATAGGGTAGGTTTACTACTTGGTCTCTAAAAAAGGGTCTCCTGCTGTCCCAATGATCACCCTCGTAAAGGCAATATAGGGGTTCAGCAGATAGTGGGATGGCACGTGTACCAATCACAATCAGTCTAAACACTCAGCAACGAGTTGGGGTTTACACAAACTTAAACCTTGACTCAAGTCTTAAGGCAAGCTGCTAGTTCCCCACTTAACTTAAAGTTAAATATGCGTGCCCTTAAAAAGATAATAATAATAATAAAGTGATGCATGACTATACCATATATGACAGAATGTAAAAAAGCATGCTAAAGCTTTTAAGCAAAGTATCAATTCATAGCAATTGGAGAACAACAAAAACATAGCATAAAAGAAACAATTACCAAGCTTAGTCCAAGGGTCCCCAGCGGAGTCGCCATCCTGTCGCACCCTCGCGAGCGGAGCGCGGCATCGCGGCGACCAATCGATTGATTTCGAGGTCTCTTAGTTTTATTTTTGTGTAAAAGGGAGTCGCCACCTAGTATTATGGTCACTAGGAAACCTAACTGGTCTTTCAGAGATTCTAAGGAAAGGGACTGGTTGCGTAAAGGGAAGGTGTTAGCACCCCTAGTACGCCCTACCTAAGGTAAGCTGCTTGGTGTTTGTCTTATAATTGCTATGGTGTTGGTGTTTTCTAATCCCATCAGTTTTACTCGATTCGATTGTAACTAAATTTCTTAAGAAAAAAATCCAAGGAGATTCAATGCACTTTACAAGCTCATTTTTCCCTTGGTATTTCAAGAGTTTGCGACTCGTAAATCGTGAGGAAGGACAAAAATTTAGAAATCTAGGGTGCTTTAAACGCCTATTTTTGCCTTAGTATTTTGTACTCTCACGGCTCGTAAACTGTGGAGGAAAAAAAAATTGAAATGTCCTCGATTATAATCAAGGCTTCTTTCAAGGATGTGTGCGGATTTATTACTCCTAAAAAATTATCTTGGATATTTACCACTCCGGGTTTCTTTATCCAAATATTAACAGTGAATAATAACAAATTATTCCCAATAATATTTTGAATGTTCGTCCTTTAAGGATTTCTTCATCCAAACATTAGTGGTAAATAATAGATAAATTCTCCCCAAAATAAGATTTTTATATTTTTTGAAATATTGGCCAACACCCTTTGGAATTTTACAAACATGTTGTAAACTCCAAAAATGCAAGAAAATAATTTTTGTGTTTAAGAAATCCATGCGAAAACACATTTTTAAAACTTCTAATATTTTTTTTATATAAAAAAAACGTTCAAAAACATGTTAGGGTATTGGCCGTATGCAACACACAAAAAAAAATATTTTTTTGTTTTTCAGACATATATATATATAATAATAATAATAATTCATGAAAAAAAACAGGGTATTTTAATACCAGATTTGTATTTCCACAATATAAAAAATAACAAACCATAAATCAAATACACGAGAAAACCAACGATATTACTGTTTTTTTTTTCTTTTTTTGGGCTGGGTCCAGCTCAGCCCATGTGGCTGGGCTGAACCCAGCAAGCCTAGCCGGGTCACTGGTCCAAATCAGTAACCCGGTTGGGCACTGTTGCAGGTTGCATGCGTGAATTACTCACGCATGCACTGCACAGTGCGAAGGTAATTAATTTACCTTCGCACAGTGCCCAAATCTTTTAAGTGCAAATGCAAAACTGAGAAAGGAGAGAAACGGCTTACGTACCTGGTCTGCTAGCGGTCTGGTTTTTTAGCTCTCCACTGTCTGCATTCATCCGGCCTTCTTCTCGTGTCCTCGTCTTCTCCCTGCCTTCGGGTTCCCCTGGTGCCGGTGCTTGCTGAAGATGGAGGTCGGGGAGGATATCCTGTCGTCATGTTACTGCTGCTGTTTGCTGCTCTGGGAGGAAGGATCTGGCTACTGTGTTGTTCTCGCTTATTGCTGCTCAAAGTGGCTGAGGAATTGCAACTGGTGATGACCGCGCCCCCGCTGGTTCTTGCTCCCAGTGTAGAGAAGAAAACACAGCTACTGCTGTTCTTGGTGATTGACGGGCTGCGAGTCAGCGATGGCTGCCGGAACTGAAGACGACGCCGCTGTTGAAGCTGGAGAAGGCTGCGTACTGGTGCAGGACTCAAAGAAGAGCTGTCTGTTTGGAATGTTAAGCAAAGCTCCTGACGCTGCTTGGGGCTCACGGTTTTGGCTGGTCTTAAGAGAAGTTGCTGGACCGTGGGGGAGAATTTGGTGGTGATGGGGAGAAGAGACGGGGCTCTGTCCGATGGTTTAAAATCCTAAAACAGGGTTTCTCCTCTGTTTTCTTTTCCGAGAGGGAGGCGGCTGAAGACAAGATAATTTTTTCTTTTGTTCCCCTTCGTCAATTTTTCTCCCCCCTTTTTTTTTTCTTTTCGTCCCCTTTCTCTCTCTTTTTCTCCTCTTGCCCTAGGTCATTAGAGGGGCTTATATATAGTCTAACCTATATCTATTTAGGAAGGATTCAATGCATTAATTCTAGGACGCAAATCCCTACTGATTTGCAGTAAAAAAAAACGCAAAAGGAAACTGCAAATTCTGATTTTATGGTGGTGCTTTACGTCTGATTTCTTTCCAGTTTTGGAGGATGGTGTGGTTCTTTTATTTCCTTCCATAGAGCCAGCTGCTATCTTTGAAATGAGGCAACAAAAACGTGGTCTTCAGCTCTAACAATCAGACATGATGAGAAAGGAAAACAACAGAGAAAAAGGGAAAGAAATCAGATGGAGGGTGCAGCTGCAAAGTCTTATCTTCCTTATTCGGTGTGGTAAAAATCCTTCCATTTATGATGATCCAGGCCCCCTCTCCAACTTTCCATATCCTTCTTCAATTAAATCCCTCATTTTAACACTTTTCAATTCAGTCCTGGGTCCAGAAAAAATCCTTCGAATCAGTCCTGCAAAACTTGGGTTAGAATCCTGCTCACGGCAGAATTCTCTATTTTTCACGTCAGATATTTAAACGTGCAGAGCTTGAGCTTCTGATATCAAAATCCATCGATTCGAAAGCCAAAATTCATCTATGCGTGTAGGATTACAACTTTGATAGGGATTTAGGGCGAGATATAATCATTTTATAGGACAGAATCGGGCCGCGATCTCGTCGGTCAAAAAGGGTCTCCTGATCTGATTCAAAAACTGATAAATACCGAGCATCCCGATATGACTGGGAGTACCCTAAGAATGAACCAGAAAAATCATGATGGCAGTAGAATTTTTTCGGTGCAAAACTTGGGTTAGAATCCTGCTTGCGGCAGAATTCTCTATTTTCACGTCAGATATTTAAACGTGCAGAGCTTAAGCTTCTGATATCGAAATCCATTGATTCGAAAGCCCAAATTCATCTATGCATCCAGTACTATGGCTTTCATAGGGAGTCAAGGCGAGATATGATAGAATCAGGCCACAATCTAGTTGGTCAAAAAGGGTCTCCCGATCTAAATTCAGGAAACTGACAATGCCAAGCATCCTCGACTAAGAGCCTGCCATAAGAACAATGAGCCCTAGGACCCAATCAAGGTGTAGGTCCATTCTTCAACATGTCATGAGTGATAGAATATAGTTGGGATGGTCAGATATTGCACGAACCTAAGTCAGAATCAGGGTCTAAGTTGGAACAAAACAAAAAAAATTTGCGGCTGTAGTAGAACTAGGTTTTTCTAGTGCCACTTTCAAGGAATTTATTTCAACCTTATAGCCCATGTAAAAGAGGAATGAATTTAGCATTATAAGGAATCCTAATTAGCTTAAGAATCCTGACAATTTCGATAGCAGTGGGGAAGGATAAAGAGAGCAGGAGATGGCTGAAACAGGGTTCGAAAAAAATCTTTCTTTCTCCTCCGCTTTTGTCAATTTTCTAGCAAACGTGAGCTACACTCCTACACTTGGTTCAAAACAGGTAGACACCATCTCTAGCACGTGGGGTCCAAAATTGAGTAACAACAATTATAATAATTTTATAATTTTTTATATAAAATATTTTTATTTTATTAACATTATTTTTATTCTAAATTCATTAATCAAACATAAATTTATTAATTAAATATAATTGAATATTCAAGATAAAAAAATATTTATTAATAATAAATATATTTTATATGAATAAAATCACTATTAAATATATCTAACTTATTAACTGCATGATATTTTCACCAACAAGATATTACAAGTAAGTAATATTGTTGATAAAATTGTAATATATACTTTTTCATATTTTTTTTAAAATAAGATAGAAATATATAATGAAAGAGATTAGTATAACTCGTGGCTTCTTAAGAATCCTAAAAAAGAGAGAGAAATAAACTAGTGTATTAATAGAAAATACATATAGGATGGGTTACATAAGATCACGATCCAATATTCATTAAGAAATCATATACTCTGAAATGTTTTTAATGTGGTCCTTCTGTCCAATTCACAATTAATTGTTTCCACCTTGTGAAGCCACACATCAAGGATTAATGGTAAATTGAATGGATATTCAATAGAGGGACTACAATAACGAAGTTTCATGAGTAGAGGGACTAATTAAAATAGAAAAAGTGTAGTTAGACCACACTAAACAAATCTCAAGACTACAAGGACCAAATAAATACAATTAACCTTTAAAAATAAGAAGACGCGACGTTAGTCACCCAAACTGTTGCGGTTACATGGCCGCTCAAGGAGTCTCTTCGGAATCTTGAAAACAACAAAATGGAAGAAAAGCCAGACGCCGACGCCACCGCCACCGCCACAACAGTCACGAACATTAACGATCTCCCACAAGACGTCCTGATCCACATCCTCTCTTTCATTCCCACACTAGACACAATCACAACAAGCCTTATTTCCACAAAATGGAAAACTCTTTGGTCCTCAGTCCCATATTTAAACTTCTCTTACACTCATTTCCCTCCTTACAACAATTTCTCCACAACCCGGCAATTCTTTTCAGAATTCATTGACCGAACACTAATTCTCAAACCCCAGTTGCCCCTTAAAAAATTCAGGCTTGAATTCATCTATGAGGATAGGTATGGGTACCATGTTGATTCATGGGTACGTTATGCAATCAAGAACCAAGTTTTAGAACTTGATCTTGATTTCTTTATTGATAAAAGTTTTCATATTTTTGAACCAGCAGCAAAACCCAATTATGATTTCCCTTTTTCTGCTCTTAGAAACAGTAAAGTTAGAGTCTTGAAGTTGTGTAGATGTGATTTGACATTGCCTGCTAATATGGAAAGTATGAATCTCTGGTCAATGAATGAGGTTTATTTTGATCAGGTTTATATGACTGATGACATGGTTTTGGATTTGTTCAAAGCTTGTCCTAATATCGAGGTTTTAAAGTTTGAAGATTGTTATGGGATGGAGAATTTGAGGCTTTGTTCAGAGAAGTTGAAAAGGCTGGATCTTTCTAGTTTTTATACTGCTGAGAGGGAATTGCATTTGGAGCTTGATTGTCCTAATCTTGTTTGGTTGAATATTGATTGCTTTGAGATGGGGCAGTTTTGTGTTAAAAATTTGTCTTCTTTGGTCGAGTTTCATACTTTTATTGTGCATGGATTGGAGTACTATGGTCAGTGGTGTAAAGTAGTGAAGCAGCTTCATCGAATTGCACACATCAAGCATCTCGTGGTGCAAAATTGGTGGCTTAAGGTATTGCTCTGCAATTTTTGGGTTTGTGTTCATTTCTGATTTAATTGTGTAATGTTTGCGTCGGTAGCAATGTTGATTTATGTAAAAGGTTAGCGATTCGTTTTTTCTTGTTTTTCGTAAGTTTCAAATGCTTCAGAAGTGAGCCTTTGGTTTTTCTTAGACGTGATTGTGTGGGAAAATGCATTTTCTAAACGTGGAGGGAGGACTAAGAATAAGGTCCCCTAGCTTGTCATGAAAGCTTGAGATAGGTGGGATTGGTAAGGCTTGGTTTCATTTGAGATTTTCACGAAATCTTTTGTTCATCATCACTACTGTGTATACACTCAAGGTTTGTTCTGTGCTGGATAGATATTTTGATTACGTTAAAGGAACTGATTAGGGATGGGTTTGTGAGGTTTCGTCTGTGAATTAATTTCCCAAACAGCTAAATGAACTCTTAAGTTAAAGCTCACCACATGGTTATTAATGCTCAAATATGTCCTTTGAGTAACCAGATGTCAAGGATTAGTGATGTGCAGGCTGTGCATTTAACATTTTAACAACTCTCTTCCATTCTATCATCCTTCTTTGCAAACTACGGATTCACTGTGTGAAGCAAGTGCTTGTTCTTGTGGCCGGTAGTCAAGGAAACTGTATGGAATCTGTTTGTATAACATGTTTGGTGATAGATTCTTTGCACAAAGTAGTGAAAAGGGCCTCTCTTTACAAATGCTTTGCTAAGCAATTTAAGACTGAAGACTGAAGAATTCAAGAAAAGGATTGCTAGGAAAGCCATGTTTGCATATCAAGATAAGTTTGAGTGCCAGTGGTAGTATTGTCAAAAACTTTTTCGTGTTTAGATAGAAAAAGCACCGTCACAATATACTGAATTTCAAATATTCTTTTCTTGTGATCAATTTGCTTTACCTCTAGTTTGGAGCAGCTAATTTCCTCTTGATTCAAACATCAATCATTATTTCCAAGTGGTTTTCTTGACAGGAAGAAATTCTACTATTAACAACTTTTACTCTTATGTTATGAGCAACTTGAGAGTGGCTGCTCAAAATTGTTTTTAAATTGATCATCTTATGAAATGTTCATATGATTGCTTTCCTTGCATGATGCTGATTCAAAAAGCTTGCACCCAAGGATGTTTTTCCTAAAGATTTTCTGCTGTACAATCTTAAACATTTAGAGCTACAAACTGGGTATACGACATATGATCTTCTTGGCCTGGCTGCATTGCTTGAGCTTTGCCCCAATCTTGAGACAATGAACCTTGATCCCCTCTACAAGATAGTTGAAGATGTAAGTATCCCTACACAACTTTTACTGTTCCAACAGGCAATATGTTCAATACAGACCATGTTTGCTTTCCTTTTTACTATCTAACGAGTAAATAAACCATGTTTCTCATTTTTCAGGAGAGTTTGTCAGAAGAACTCTTAAATAAACCAATTAATCTCTTCATGCCAAACCTCAAGGAAGTCAGGCTGAAAGCATACGTGCCGGGACAAAATCAAAATCAATTTAGTCAATTTGTGTCCCTCCTGAAAAAGCAAGGAGTTGTCCTCGAAAAGATTGTTCTAGTCTCTTTGTGTAATGGGATGTCACTTCCTCCCGTAATTCTGCGTAGAAGGCCTCCAAGGGCTGAAGTTAACGAAGAATCTTCACTGCATGTTGAAGGAAGCCCTGAGCGCTGAGGTTCCCATTTTCGTTTCTTCATCTGGTGCCTAGGAATGGGTAGCGGGCAGCCTTTGTTTCGCTGTAGCACCTTCTCGAATTGGTCCTCCGTTTCTTTGTTATTTGATCATAGCTTCTCTGAATATTTTAGGAATTTTTAGTTGAATTTTGTTGACAGTCATAATTCTTTCTGGACAATCATAATCTTCAATTGATTAAAAGCTAGGAATGCTGTGATTCTTGCTTTCCATTTTATGCTGGTGTGTGAATTTTGAACTTTTCTTTCAAGCACATGATGCTTCCATGCATGGTTAATTAATCTCCAGCCCTGGCCTGGCCTGGAAGGATATTGACTAAAAGATAAAGATATTGCATGGTATATGATTTAAATTTAAAAGGAGATGGTTACCATTATACAAGAGATCAATATTTTTAAGATAATTTTTTTCTTTACATAATTCTTAAGAATTTCTTTTTTGCTTGGTATTCCATTCAGCTTAAGAAATACACTTTGTTGGGCCTTAAGGCCCATGGTTTGATTTGGGCATTTAAGAACTGACCAGACAGATCTCTCTCACAAAAAAGCGGCTCTTCTCCTCTTTTAACTCCACCACCGCTGCCGCTAAACACCTCGAGCATCCACGGTATCACAAAAAAAATGGGCAGTGGAAGAAGAAGAAGCGGCGGTGGTGGCGGGGGAAGCGGAGGAGGAAGAAACCAAAGACTGCTTAAACACCACATAGACATCTGTAACAAAAAATTTACCACAACAGACGACATAGTCCACCACCTCCGCAATAGCTACCCCAATTACCGCCGCATGGAACTCAAAACCCTAACTCGCATCGTCCAGCAAACCCTAAACCAACAAACACCGCCGCCGAAGAAATTCAGAAAACATGAATTGGAAACAGAATCCGATTCCAACGACGAAGAAGCAAACCTTAGCACGACTGTGAGTAAGAAGCAGAAGCGAATTGATGAGAGTGAAGAGAAATTGATGCATATTGAAAATGCGTATTCTAGAAGAAGGAATCGAAATCGGGGCCCGATTTTGGTTTCGAGTTCGGATACGGAGTCCAGTTCGGATTCGGATTCGGGTTCGGATTCTTCGACGTCGTTAGAGCCACCGAAGTTTGATTTGATGAAATCAATGTTAAGGGAAAGTTATGGGGTGGCGGAGAAAAATATGGAAGTTGAGCTTGCTAATGATAGAAAAGAAAGTATTAGTAGTAAAGTTGACATGATTGAGAGAAATAGAGGGGTAGGAAAGCAAAAAGGAGAGGACTTGGAGGGTAGTTTGGGGAAACTGAAAGGTGGGCTTGGTGAGGATGCGAAGGGGAAGGAAGGGGGGCCGAGGTTTAAGGATTTAGGGGGTTTGAGTGGGATTTTAGAGGAGTTGGAAATGGAGGTGTTTTTGCCATTGTATCATCCAAATGTGCCGCTGAGACTTGGGGTTAATCCTATAAGTGGGATTTTGTTGCATGGGCCACCTGGTTGTGGGAAGACTAAGTTGGCCCATGCTATTGCGAATGAGACTGGGGTGCCTTTTTACAAGATTTCTGCTACTGAGGTTGTTTCTGGTGTTTCAGGTACGGAGTTTTATAAGGGAAGTTTTTTGATGTGGGTTTTGAAGGAAATTTGCTGTTTTGGTGTTTGAATGTGCTCTGTTTCTTGAGTCTCGCAGGATGTCATTCAATTTGTTATCATGTTGCAATTATGACGTTGAGGAGTGTGTGAGTACTCTATTTTATAAATGCAAAATCATGATGGTATTTGTTTGTTTTTCTTTACTGGTAGTTCTAATCTTCTAGATTGCCTATGATTTGTAGAAATGTAGGGTTTTAGCGGTCTACAATGTGGTTTCATGCTGTTTGTTGGGATGTCTTCCACTTTATTAACATTAAATTGTGGTGTTATTTGTTCTTTTTAAATGGTTTGTGTAAATAGAGGCCTTTTAGTGATGGAAATTTGATTATAATGTTTTGTGATGCGGTGTTGAGTGTTTGAATTAGTTTTGTGGTTGTTGCTCCTGGATGCCATTCGGTTGTTTATTTTCTTGAACTAAAGAAATCTGGCAGTTCACAGGTGCAGTATCAGAAATGCAAAACCAGAGTGTTTTTTATTCCTCTTTTCCCCTTAATGATCTGTTAAGTGAAGTGATTTTTGGTTTGCAGAAATTAGGCCTTTGTCTGGTTATAATTCCATTATCATGCTGTTTGTTATGATCTTGCCTTTTTTAACTGCCTATGAGTGAGTACCGTGATGGAAAAGCTTCAAGTGAAGCTACTACTGTGACTGACATTGGTTCATTGGGTAATCTCAGGTGCATCGGAAGAAAATATCCGAGATCTTTTCTCTAAAGCATACAGGACTGCACCATCTATCATTTTTATTGATGAGATCGATGCAATTGCTTCAAAGAGAGAGAATTTACAGAGAGAGATGGAGAGAAGGATTGTGACACAATTGATGACTTGCATGGATGAACATCACAGGCTAGGACAACCATCTGATGACAGTTCAAGTTCAGAAAGCTCCAATCGAATACCTGGAAATGTTCTTGTTATTGGAGCTACAAATAGGCCTGATGCTGTTGACCCTGCACTAAGGAGGCCTGGGAGATTTGATCGGGAGATTAATTTAGGTGTTCCGGATGAGAAAGCTAGGGTTCAAATTCTTTCAGTGCTTACTAAAAATTGTACTCTTGAGGGTTCTCTTGATATTTTGCAAATAGCTAGGTCTACACCAGGTTTTGTTGGAGCTGATTTAAATGCTTTGGTTAACACGGCTGGTAATCTTGCAATGAGGAGAGTTGCTTCCCAGAGAAAATCTGAGCTATCAGGATGTTTGACAGAGAAGGAAGACAATGAGGATTGGTGGAAGCAACCTTGGTCGCCTGAGGAGATGGAAAAGCTTGCCATCACAATGGCTGATTTCGAGGTAATCTGGAACTGCATTATCTGCCATTGTCTCAATCTCTTTAACTTCAAGATTGGTGTACTTCAACTTTTGTTTATGCTTTAGCCTATGACTTTCCCGTTGATGAAAAGCTTTTAAAAACTTCATTATGTTTTCTTTATTCCTTGGTTTGTTTGACATAAGGATGAAATTTAATCCCCTTTTTTTCACTTGCAGAAAGCAGCCAAGCTAGTTCAGCCCTCATCAAAAAGAGAAGGATTCTCTACTATCCCTAATGTCAAATGGGAAGACGTTGGTGGCCTTGATGATATAAGGGATGAGTTTGACCTCTATATCATTAGTCGTATAAAGTATCCTGATGATTATCAGGTAACCGTTACACTTTCTCTGTGCCCCTCCCTTCCTTTCCTTTTCTGTTTCAGTTTCAAAGTTGAGCAGATTTATATGTTTTTATTTTCTGTTGAATGTAGTTTCTGCAACATAATTGTATCTTTTCAAAGCACTTTATTCCTCTTGATAAGCGATTGCACATTATTGACGTCTAACAAATAGAGAATATTTCTTTGTCTGGTTAATGCTTGATAATTTTCATTTCCTTTACCTCCTTATTTATTCTAAATAGCAGTTTGCACTAGGTTATAACTTCATATGTATTGTATTTATTATTTTTAAGTTCTGTTAGATTTAGCATGACAACATAGTTGTATTGTTCTGGTTGATTCTCTTACTAATCACGTGCATTATTTGTAAATTCAGAAATTTGGAGTGAATTTAGAGACAGGGATTTTGCTCTACGGACCTCCTGGCTGTGGCAAAACAATGATTGCAAAGGCTGCCGCTAACGAGGCAGGAGCTAACTTCATTCATGTGAAGGTGAGTCCTTCCATTCATTCTCTAACTCAAATCTCTCTCTCTCTCTCTCTCTCTCTCTTTTTCCATTCTATTCTTTTTTGGTGCCTTATACCACAGTTTTCTTACGGAATCTGTTCTAAATCTGTCGCAAAACATTAATGATTGTGAATTCCATAATTTATCAGGGTCCTGAACTTCTGAATAAGTATGTTGGAGAAAGCGAACTGGCAGTTAGGATGTTATTCAGTCGTGCAAGAACATGCTCGCCATGCATAATCTTCTTTGATGAGGTTTGTGGCTTACCTTTCTTTGTATTTATGAGTATCCAGTTATTTAATTTGACATAATGGAGATCTAGATTGGAAAGATAGATGACTGAAATATTTGGCACTTCCCCTAATCTAATGAACTCCGATATTTTTTTTGTGTATGTTGGAAATTGTGCGATACTCTGTATTTGGATTGTTCTTTCCTCTTAGATCTATTTGACTTCACTTTGTGAAATTTCCATCTAATGACCTGTATAGTAAATAAGTGGTTTTTTCTGGCTGATGAGGCTTTCATTACTTTGTGCACTTCTATGTTATCTGAAGACCATTAAATTTTCTGTCCTTTGCAACAATTTATTTTGTTTTTATACAGGTGGATGCTTTGACAACAATTCGTGGAAAAGAAGGGGGGTGGGTCGTTGAGAGGCTCTTAAATCAGGTCAATAAGATGCAATGACATAAACTGAATTAAAACATCTATTTTTCTCTATGTAATCCATATCATCAATTTGTTCCCAGTATATGTCAATTGAATGCAATGCTTATAATTGCAGTTGCTTATAGAGTTAGACGGTGCAGATCAGCGCCCTGGTATTTTTATCATTGGTGCCACTAACAGGTACTCTAATCTCTCTCTTCTTTCATTTTCCTCTCCTCTCCTCTCCTCTCCTCTCCACTTCTCTCACTGAAGCTGGTGTCTCTGATGGTAGACCTGAGGTGATGGACCCTGCTGTCCTGCGGCCTGGTAGGTTTGGCAAACTTCTTTATGTCCCTCTGCCAAGTTCAGAGGACCGTGGATTGATCTTAAAGGCTCTCGCTAAAGGAAAACCCATCGATCCTAGTGTCGACTTGGCTGCCATTGGTCAAATGGAGGCTTGTAAAAATTTTAGCGGGGCTGATCTTAGGAAGCTGGTTTGTCTATGTTTCTATTAGTCTCGTTTTTTTTTTGACATATTTTAGTGCTGGAACACATTCTAATTCTTGTGATACTTTCAAGAGGTCTGACTTTACTTGACCAGCCTTCGCTTGTTAACTTGGATTGGAATTATTTCCTAGATGGAGGAAGCCGCAATGACTGCTTTGAAGGAGGCCAAGAGACAAAGATGTTTGCATGAGACTTCAGGTACAATCATGGCCGCACAAACTGAGCCAGCAGTTAATATCACAGCCACTCATTTTGAGCAAGCCCTTGGTAAAATTTCACCATCCGTGTCAGAGAAGGTATAGCTCTCTCTTACTGGTGTCTAATAACAGAGAACAGAAATCCTCGCTTATACTCGTCTAACCCCTTTTTCTTTGTAAGCAGCAAATACAATATTACAAAGCTTGGTCAGAGAGTTTCAAAGCAACATGAGAAGAGACGTAAACTAGCTTTTGATGATCGATAGAAGATATTGAGCAAGAAATCCTTGAGCATAACTCATTGCTTGCATCGACGATCAGACGGTGAAAATTTTTCAGTCCTTTCACCAGATTGCACCAAGTTATTTGGAGGTGCGGGAAGCTGTCTCCTGTGTGGAAATTTTGTTTTTGTTTTTGTATTTTTGTATTGCCATTTTCTTCTCTTCACATGTTTGTTGAGGCAGATGACAAAAGCCCAATCGTACTTTCACCAATACACTTGCTAAAAAGGTGTGCTCTTGAATGAAATAAAAAGATTTTGTCCTCTCTCTCTCTCTTTTTTTGGGTTAAACTTCAGTTTTATTCCTATAGATTCATCACTGCTCCAGTCCTACTCCAATAGTTTAAACTTCTCAGTGTTACCCCTATAGTTTCCAAAATTGATTATGTTTGAGTTGGGCTTTATATATATATATATAAAGTTTCCAAGTATTTTGAGAGTATTATGATATTTATGGTTTTTTAGTGGAAACAAATGAGAAGATATAAAATAGTAAGGGTAAAATTGAAACATTTGAAAAACTATAGCGGTAACATTGTTGAAATGTTAAACCACGGGGTTGAAGAGGTACATTGATGAATCTATGAGGCTAAAATTATGGCTCACTTCTTTCAGGTCTTGAAAGTATTATTGCTGAGTGTCAGTGCGTCGATGCAAGCGCCAATTGAAGAAGTAGAAGGCTTCTTGTACTCGTTTATCTAAGCAACCTCGGTGAACTTTTAAACCATGAGTATTGTAGCTCAGGTTCAGGGTGTTCTTCTGGTTTCGGAACTTTTGCCGTTGGTAATGGCCTGAAAAACAGAGTGCGAGAGAGCATTCAGATGCACTTTGTCACGACCCGAATCCCGGATCCATGACCGGCACATAGACAAGGTTCCCCTCCAAGGTTCCGTACCTATGCGAACCCAAACTTACATACAAATTTATCCTAACTCAATCAGAGTTCAACGCAGCATTAATAACAAAATCAATTTCATAATATAATTAAATTGTCTTAATACAAGAGTTAATATAATTTTATAATTTTGGAGTACTAATTAGATATAAAGGAAAATGCACGGATTACAACCAAAAGAGCAGGTTCTGAAGGTCCAACAAAAGTGACCTGCTATCAAGCTATAAGCCTAAAAATGATAAATAATGAGAGTGTGAGTTTAACAACTCAGTGAGTAGATAATGTTCAATATACACACACGAAATAATACAATAATGAGAAATATATATACAAGTATGAATTTAGGTTCTTATAAAAAGGTTTCTCAAATAGGCCATAACAAGAATATCATATGGTAAAATCGTCAGAAAATCAAAATGCAATGAGCATGAGGCTCCGTACTGTGGGATGATCAGTCCACACAGGTTGGTGACTCCCCCGACCAACTAGGGTTCAGATACGATGTGCACAAAGACTAACACTACCCTGTTAGCCTGGGTATTCTGACTGACATACCATAGGGTTATAATCATAATCAACCAGACATATTAATATCTCAAGGCTCAACTCATGACATCAATCAAATGAGGAGCTATCAATTCAGAAGTCAATTCAAAATACATACTGGTTCATATCAAGAATTCGGATTCAACAAATGATCATGCTTATCATAACAAGGATAATAATCACCATATATATTATCAAGAAGCATGATCCAATTCATATTAACAAAATAAATATTTATAATATTTCTCATGCATATGGAAAATTATCCACTCACCTGACTCGAAAGCAAACAGAAATCAAAAGCAAACACCGAAGAAAATCCTACTGACGTCCTGCCGGTAGAATATCAGGATTATCTGAATACAAAGGAGACATATTCAAGAATGACTCAAAAGAATATATAACCTATTTAATACACTTATTTAAGGATATATTCCATAACCCTATATATTTTTGAACTAATTAGTTATATTCCAAAAACCCAAAAATTAACGATTTTCTCAAAATCTAATCCATAATAAAACAAATAATAAAATTGGTAATACTTCACTAACTAACCCTCAATTATTCATCAAACACATCTGCAAAAGCTAATATTACAGCTAGGGACTAATCTGTAATTTATTATATTTTTAAGGGTCAAATTGTAACTTAATCCATTTGGAGGACCAAACTAAACTTATCATAAATCCATGAATATACTGAAATTCTGACCATAATCAATCCTCATTTCTGTCCAGATCATCTCATTATACTCCAGGGACCATTCTGGAATTTTATCAAATTTTTAGGGTTAAATGGTAATTTTTGTCAAATTGAAGGACCAAATTGAAAGTGTTAAAATTTCATAACTATACAGGAATTCTGCCCATAATTTATCTTTTATTCTGTTCAGAATCTCGGAATATGCCCCAGGGACCAATCTGTACATTTTTCAAAGTTTGGGGACTAAACTGTAATTTCCACAAATTGAAGGACCAAAATGAATTTTCGTCATCTTCAACCTCCAACCCAGAATTTCAACAGAAACCCACTGTTCTTTCCTTATTTCTAACATAATTTCACCATTCAAACAAAATCATAACTCAAAATCATCATCTTTCAATTCAATCTCTCAAAATCCACCAAATAATCCATTACCCATAACAATCAACCCATAAAATTCAATTAATTCATCAATCAAACCCAAAACATAAATTTTCAAAACCCTAACATTTATCAAAACCAAAATTAAAACTTAATCAACACATATTTATATATAATCTTACCTTTAAACTTATTTCCTTCAACTCTTTTCTATTTTCTTCTAATTCCCTTCTTTTCTCTTCTTCTTCTTTCTCCCTTCTCTCTCCTGCCGATTTTCTCTCAATTTCAGATCATTTATTTATTTTTTTTTTTTACTTTCTATTTATATTTATCAAGTTTTGTTGAATTACTACACTACCCCTCATTCATTTATATCTACACTTTAAGCCACCAAGGGCTTTATTGTATTTTCCTACTTATTTATTCAAAACATTACACACTTGAAGCTGGAAAAAGTGGATTCCTATCAGTAAAATTGTCAAAAAATGAGTTTCTTGGTATGTCTGCCAAAACCGACCCTTCTATGATTTACTCCCGGATTTGTTCTTTGCAAGCGTAATCAAGTAAGTTCAAGAAGATGGCAGCAAAGCCAAGAACACAACCACCAGCACTCAAAGCCTAAACGAAGAGATACTCTACAGTCCACATCCTCTTTTCTTCCTACCAAAACTGCAATCCAAACCTTCTGAACTTTCTACAAATGGCTTGAAATCTGATACAAAGCTCCGTTGCCTTCACTTCTCTTACCCTCCCTCTGAATTTTCAACAAAACCTGCCTCTGCCAGCCCCCTCTTTCCCCTCCTCCTCTCCACAAGTTTACTTCCAACTAGACTTCCAAGACTATCATGATTAATGCATAATGGTATTGACCACCATGTGAAAGACCTCGAGCTCATGCTTTCCTCATGTTGGTCTGTTGATGCAAAAGCTACAAGATTCCCCCTCGTTTTTCTCAGAAACGGGTGTGTTAAAGATTTGAGGCTTGTATATAGCAAAATCTTGTGACTATGGTTTCGAAGGGGCTTGAGCAATTAAGGTTAGTGTTTCTTGTGTTGAGTAATGGTGTGGCGTATGATTTGATTTGTGCGTGTAAATCTCGAAAAATCTGTCTATCGATGCGTGTCATGGACTGCAGGACGTTAAGATCTCTTCATTGAGAGTTATTTACTGAAATGCGAGTGGTGCTCACTATCTTAAGCTACCATGTCTCTGAGGGCTCTAGCAATCATAAAACTATTCTTCCTGTGGATGCCGACAGCTATAATTTTTGACAGCTATAAACATCCTTATTTGGTGTCACACCACTGAAATCTTTTCCTGCTTTTCCAAGCAATCTAGTTGCTGCAGCATTGTAAAATTTCCCTCTCCATTGACACCCTCCACCTTTCGAAGTAAGATAAGGTGCTGGATAATAAACTAGCTTCTAACTAAAATTGTACACTAAACCTAACTTGATCCTCTGCCCACCACTATAAAAACCTCAGTCTATCCCTTCTTTACACATCAAACATTTCAACGATCGATCAGTAGAGCTTAATTTGCTTTGGTGTTTTGGTATCATTTCAAGCTTTATATCAGGGTCTGTAAAGATGAAGCAACAGCACTCACTCTCCTCTTTTTCATTTTTTCTTCTTTTACTCCATTGTGCTAATACCTTTGCTCAGTCACCAGCTGCAACCCCAGCACAGGCACCAGCAGCAGTTGTAGCACAACCTCCAGCTGCAACCCCAACACAGGCAGCTCAGCCACACGGCATCACAAACGTCACCAAAATCCTTGAGAAGGCTGGACATTTCACGATCTTTATCCGCCTTTTGAGATCCACCCAAGAGGAAAACCGCTTGCTCTCCGCGCTTAATGATTCAAGCTCTGGTATAACCATCTTTGCACCAACTGATAGCGCATTCTCGGAACTCAAATCAGGAACGGTCAACACTCTAAGTGACGGAGACAAGGCTGAGTTAGTGAAGTTCCATCTAGTTCCTAATTTCTTATCGACCTCCCAGTTCCAGACCGTAAGCAACCCTATCGGTACATGGGCTGGAACAGGTAGTAGGGTACCACTAAATGTCACAAGTTATCCAAACTCAGTGAACATAACCATAGGACTTACCAATACAAGTTTATCTGGCACGGTATACACGGACAATCAGCTAGCCATTTATAAGATTGAGAAGGTGCTACTTCCTAAGGACATTTTTGCTTCGAAGGCTCCAGCTCCAGCACCGGTAGCACCGGAACCAGAAAAGCCTACAAAGGCAGTTCCTGCAGCAACCGTAGAGAGTCCCGTGTCTCCTGTGGATATATCTAGTGCGCTTATGTTCGCACATAATAATGTGGTGGGATCTGTTGGCATAGTTGCTGCTGCAATGTTTGCTCTGTAATGTATTAAGGTTTGAATCTTGAGATGAAATTTGTTGGGGTTTGGTCTGGTTTTGATGTTATATTTTTCCTAGCTGTATTGAATCTGTTGAGTAATTTCGATCTTACCTTGAATCCAGTTTGTATGCTTTGAGTTGACGATTAAAATTGAGTTCTGAGATTTTATTTAATTTCTTGGTACTTGATTAGTCAAATTTCAATTTTTTTTAAACCATAATCCGGGTGTCATCTAATCATTACCTAGTTTTCGGGTAGATAATGGTGGTTGGATTGGTGAATCAATTTCTGGGGAAGTATACTTACTGGAGGATGAGTAGTAAGTGGAATTTTTGGAGGAGACGAGAGTTGTCAAGCTGAGAAGTCCTATTCAGGTGGTTGCAAAAGCTTGCAAGCTGTTGACATCTTTTTTCGTGGATATTAACTTGCCGAAGGTTCTTAGGGTTATTTCCTCTGGGAATGGTTCTTCTGATCCGATCTTAGGGGGGTGTCGGCTAAGTGGGGTGAATATTGGGCAAACTATCATGATAGCAGAGGAGAGAAAGCTCGCAGGAAATCTGAAGCGAAGGAAAAGTGATTACAAGATTGGTGGAGGAATGAAGGAAGGTGAGTTATGAGATAATGGAGGCCGAAAGAGATTGAAGTAGATCGTCACCACTGACCAGGGAGAAAAACAGTAAGAAGGAAGCAGAAGAGAAATGCCAGAGATGATTCATTTCGATCCAAAGAAGTATGATTCATGAACTTATTGAGTTGTATTCAATCGGCAGCTCCCCCCCACCCAAGGATTTGACGATTAGGAGCATTAGAGTATACATTCATACTGCTCTTTTCTGGACAAATCCCCCAGTATTTCATGCGAAACTTGATTGAGAGATTACAGTTTCTACATTACAGGTTAGACATATCATGATCCGGTTTTCAAATCCATAACTAGCACATAAATAATATATTTTTTTAAAATTTTATATTAATATAAACTTAGACTTACATACAAACTGAACCTTCGTATAACTTAATATATAACTTAATGTGAGTTCAACGTAGTACTAATAACAAAATTAATTTCATTATATAATTTGATTCTCTGCTGTACTAATAATAAAATTAACTTCATTATATAATTTGATTATCTTAATACAAGAGTTAATACAAATTTATAATTGTGGAGCTCCAACTAAATATAAGAGAAAATACAAATTTCAACAAAAAAGAAGGTCATGAAGGTCCAACAAAATAACCCACTAACAAGTTATAAGTCTGAAAACATAAATAATAAGAGGGTGATTTCAACAAATCAATAAATAGATAATATTCAATACACACACATGAGATAATATAATAATAAAATATATATATATAATTATGATTCTAGGTTCTTATAGGAAGGTTTTTCAAATATATCATAACAAGAATATTATTAGGTAGAGCTAGTTAGAAAATCAAAATGCAATGAGCATGAGACTCTGTATTATGGAACCATTGGTGACTCCCTTGACTAATTAGGGTTTAGATACGATGTGCACAAATACTAATACTATCATGTTAGCATGAATATTTTGATTAGCATATCATAAGTTCATAATTATAATCAAACAGACATATTTATATTTCAAGGCTCAACTCATGACATTAAATCAAATGAGGAGCTATCGATTCAGAAGTTAATTTAAAATATATATTGGTTCATATCAATAATTTAAATTTAACAATTAATCATACTTTATCATAACAAGGATAATAATCAATATATATATTATTAAGAAGCATGATTCAATTCATATTAAAAAATTAAATATTTATAATATTTCTCATGTATATGAAAATTTATCCACTCACCTGACTCGAAAATAAATAGAACTCAAAACCAGATACCGAAAAAAATCCTATTAATGTCTCGCCGGTAGAATATCAGGATTATCTGAATACAAATAAGACATATTAAAAAAGACTCGAAAAGAATGTTCAACCTATTTAATACACTTAATTAAGGGTCTATTCCATAACCTCATATGTTTTTAAACTAAACTTGTCGTTTTTTTCCAAAAACTCAAAAGTAAACAGTTTTACCGAAATCCAATTCATAATAAAATAAATAATAAGACTTGATAATAATTCACTAAATAACCCACAATTATTTGTTAAACCACTCTGCAAAAGCTAACATTACAACTAGGGACTAATATGGAATTTATCATGTTTTTAAGGGTCAAATTGTAAATTTACCAAATTGAAGGACTAAACTAAAAATATTATAAATTCATGAATATAGTGAAATTATATCCATAATTCACCCTCAGTTCTGTCCAGAATCTCATACTATGCTCTAGGGAACATTTTGGAATTTTTTCAAATTTTTAGGGTCAAATTGTAATTTTTGTTAAATGGAAGGACCAAATTAAAAGTGTTAAAAATTCATAATTATACTGTAATTCTGCCCATAATTCATCTTCTATTCTATCCAGAATCTTGGAATATGCTCCAGGGATCAATCTGTAATTTTTTCAAAGTTTGGGGACTAAACTGTAATTTTCATAAATAGAGGGACCAAACTGAATTTTCATAATCTTCAACCTCAAATCCAGAGTTCCCACAGATTATCTCCTGTTATATCAATATTTTTAACTCAAATTCACCATTAAAACAAATTCATAACTCAAAATCATCATCTTTACCTAAAATCTTTCAAAATGAACTACACAATTCATTATCCATAATAATTAACCCATAACATTCAAATTAATTCATCAATCAAACCAAAACACAATTTTTAAAACCTTAACATTCAACAAAATAAAAATTTAAAACTTAAATAACACATATTTATACATAATCTTATCTTTAAACTTATTTTCTTCAATTCTCTTTTATTTCTCTTATCTTTTCCTTTTTTATCTTCTTCTTCTTTTTCCCTTCACTCCTGCGGTTCTCTCTCAAAATTTTCAGATCTCTTCCTTTTCTTTTTCTGTTTTTATTTATTATGTTTATTCAATTGCTATAATACCTCTCATTCATTTATATTCATTTTTAAGCCTTCAAGCACTTTAATGTATTTTCCCACCCATTTATTTCAAAACATCACAGGACATGTCTTAAGGACCCAATTCCTAGTAGTTTTAGATATAGAGATGGGTCAGTAGAGATTGCTTGTCCAAATCTTCTGTCATTACAGATGATTTGTTTTGATGTTTACATTTATGCTCAAATGTTCTGCCAGTGATAATTCTGAAAGTAGTTGGAGCAGCAACGTTAAATTTCCTTCTCTATTGGTGACCTTCCACCTTATGGAGCAAGATAAGGTATTAGATAGCAACCTAGTAGTAGTATATCTGAAATTGTACATGGCACCTTACTTGATCCTCTGCCTTCTACTATAAAACCTCACTCTGTCTCTTCTTGAGACATCAAACACTTCTAAATAAGATCGAGCTCAATTTACAAAAGCATTTTTTTTATAGTGTCCAGGAGAATAGCCTGGAAAATTAAAGATGAAGCAACAGTACTCAATCTCCTCCATTTCAGTTTTCCTTCTTTTCCTCCACTATACCAATACCTTTGCCCAGTCACCAGCAGCAGCCCCAGCGCAGGCACCAGCAGTAGTCGTAGCACAACCCCAGCCGCAACTCCAACACAGGCAGCTGCTCCACACGGCATCACCAACGTCACCAAAATCCTTGAGAAGGCTGGCCATTTCACGATCTTTATCCGCCTTTTGAGATCCACCCAAGAGGAAAACCACTTATACTCCGCGCTTAATGATTCAACCTCTGGTTTAACCATCTTTGCACCAACAGAGAGTGCATTTTCGAAACTCAAATCAGGAACTCTCAATACTCTAAGTGATGGGGACAAGTCTGAGTTGGTGAAGTTCCGCGTAGTTCCAACTTTCGTATCCACTTCCCAGTTTCAGACTGTAAGTACTCCTCTTGGAACATGGGCTGGAACAGGTAGTAGGTTACCACTTAACGTCACAAGTTATCCATACTCGGTGAACATAACCACAGGACTTACCAATACAAGTTTATCTGGCACGGTATACACGGACAACCAGCTAGCCATTTATAAGATTGAGAAGGTGCTCCTTCCCAAGGACATTTTTGCTTCTAAGGCCCCAGCCCCAGCACCAGTAGCACCCGCACCAGAAAAGCCTACTAAGGCAGTTCCTGCAGCTAATGTTGAGAGTCCTGTTGCTCCAGTGGATATATCTGGCGCAGTCATGTTCACGCGTAATAACGTGGTTGGATCAGTTGGTATAATTGCTGCTGCAATTTTTGCTTTATAAAGTAGAAGGGTTTGAATCTCCAGATGAGATAAGCTGGGTTGGGTCCAGCAGCGTCTAATTTTTCTGAGTTGGATCGAAAGCTTGGTGTGTGTTGAATAATTCCGATTTTACTTTGAATCCAGTTTGTATGATTTTAGGTTATGATTAAAATTGAGTATCGAGGTTTTATTTAATTTCTTGAGCAAATTGCTAAATATGTACTTGATTAGTCAAACTTCATTTGTTGTTTTTTCTCTGTGATCACCCTGGTGCCATCGTATAATGCCCTAACTGTTTCTTAAATAATAGTAGTTGTGTTAGTGGTTCTATTTCTTGGAAGTCTAGTTATAGGAGGAGTAAATTTTCATGATTTGAATTTTAGGTTCGTGACCGGCCGTAGTGGTGTTAAAAAAACGTCTCATCTATACTAAATTTCATAACGAACATATAAAAAAAACAAGTTATTTAAAAATATGCAGCATTTTATAATCTTCAGAAATAACATATGTTATACAAAACTGATAAAACCAAAAGATAGTTCAAAACTTCTCATCAATAATTAAAATAAAAATAATAATACATAATACTTATTATATTATCAAAATCTAAACTTAATTAAAATAAAATAACAGTGGAGCATCTAAAAAATTTAATCAAAACTAAAAAGAAAGTCTCGCAAAAAAAGCAAAGCATGCCAACCAAAACTAAAGAAGTAGGAACACTCAACAAAATTCACTTGCTATTAAAAACTAAGAACCTAAAATAATATTAAGAATGAAGGGTGAGTTCAACCAACTCAGTGAGAGAATAACATTTAATATATATTTTGGATATTAGTAGTTTGTAAGTTGACTTGTCTTGATATACATATACATATACATACTAAACATATTATCATAAAGTAGTGAAATA